TGATGGCCAAAACGTAGCCCCTCATCCTGGAATTGTCCTTGGAATCCATTTAGCATTAAAAGGTCTTCAACCGTTGTCACTTTCTATTATGTCATCTCAACATCTTTTGTGATACGGTGCTGATTTTGTAACCTTGACTTTTAGTTCAGTCATACTTTACTGTACATATTTTTCAAAACCTCTTTTAATGAGCTGTCCTTGCTTTCCTTGTACTTTGTTCATATTTGCAGATATAAAGATAAAAAAAAAAACCTCTGTAATCATTTTATCCAAATGTAAGCAAACAAGGGGTCTGTGTTGACATTAAATGATGTTTAGGAAGTGAAATTAACTTTACTGAGTTAATGTTCTCAGTGATAAACAGATTTTTTTTCAGTGTTGTGTCAGCTATTAAGCTAGCAATGTAAACAGGGTTGGCAGCAGATTAGGATCAAGCATAACGCTTAACATTTCATTTCTGTATGAGAAACTGAATACATTTGTCAGTGTGGCATATTTTGCACTGCTGTAACTTTACAACAGGACTTGTAGAAGAAAGTAGAAATGTACAAACGTTTACGCTCATTAAATTGAAACTACATTGTCATTTCAATTTCATTCATAATTTTGGCCTATAGCTTCAAAAAAAGCTAATTATCATTTAAATAAGATGCCCAGAAAGCTGCAGAAGAAGAAATGTTAGCCGAAGTGCTGGAGCTTTGCCAAATAAGGAGAACTGTGGCTTTCCTGCAACTTTTTACCTTAGTGTCCTGTTTATCACATATAATAAAAAGCATTTACTGTCTGGTTGTGGTGCTCTTTGTGACACGGCAGCTTTTTTTTTTTTTACTTCGACTTCTTAACACATTGGCTTTCTCTCAAAACGAACCCAACAACAGCCGTGCATTTTGTGATGAAATAAATTGTGCCGTCCTTATAGCAAATTTGGTTTTCCACTTGCTGTGGAGGGTGAAGCAGCGCACAGTTAGATTAAGACTTGCTCGTTTATCAAGGCAGTTCATAAATATGTAAGCTATAGTTTAGATGTGTAAAATGTGTTAATTTCATTTGGTTTAAGTGTTTGTGTATAGGCACATGTTTGTCATGCTGAGGGCAAACTGCAGCTTCTGTTTCTAGAGTTCAAAAAACTCGTTGATTCATTCTGATGATATCATATTTTTGTGTCTGTAAATTCAAACTGGGTCCTTATGCTGCTAATTTAAACTGGTGTTAGGCAGCCATTCTTCCATAGCATGAACAACAGTAATATTCTAAGGCAGTTTTGAACTAGTAATATTAGTTTTTGAATTATTGTTAGTTTTAGGAATTTCAGGTATTTTTTTAACTGCTTTCATATGCAATCATCATTCAGGGTGTTTATTTTGATTGATGTGCTGATTGCTGCCCACAGCATCGTGTTTTGGAATACGGTTTTAAGGGTTTAAAAGCATTATGAGGTGAAAAGAAATGGCACTTGTGTATCATTCTTACATCAACTTGTATGCAGGGCCTTCTTAAATAAACCAGACA